CTCATCGTCAAGTGTTACCACTCTACCCATAAAATCAGTAGGTACACCGCCCATGTTGTAGTGTACGGTGGGCAACACCGGCACGGGTTCCTTTGTTACATCAACTTTAGCGAAAATTCTAGCTGTTGTCACTATTCCAGGCAGACGTTTGTAAATAATTTCAGGATCAATATGGTGAAGCTGTAAGTGGACATGGTCTTTGAGGGGGCCGCAGCCATTTCCTTTCAACACTTCCATTGTCATAGCACGCGCTACAACATCGCGTGAGGCTAAGTCCTTGGCCTCCGGTGCATATTGTTCCATAAAACGCTCGCCCTTAGAATTGACAAAGAAGCCACCCTCGCCGCGAACGCCTTCAGTGATAAGACAGCCGGCTCCGTACATACCGGTAGGATGGAACTGTACAAACTCCATGTCCATAAGCGGAAGTTTGGCGCGTGAAACCCAAGCATTGCCGTCCCCAGTGCAAGTATGGCCGGCAGTGCTTGAAAAATACACGCGTCCACAGCCGCCAGACGCAACCACAGTGTTCTTGGCGATGAACCGATGAAAGGTGCCATCATCCAAACACCAAGCCAGGCAACCCAAACAACGGGAATCTTCCATTATTAAATCGAGCACAAAATAGTCTACATAATAATGGCAAAGATCCCCGTATTTCAGAGTCTGACCATAGAGTGTGTGAATAAGTGCGTGCCCAGTGCGATCGGCCACTGCGCAGGAACGTCTAGCTACGCCACCCTTGCCGTAGCCTAGTGTCTGTCCTCCAAATGGCCGCTGATATATCTTGCCATCCTCCCTTCGTGAAAATGGCATGCCATATTGGTCGAGCTCGTGTACGGCTGCCATCGCTTCTCGGCACATATAGTGGATGGCATTCTGATCCCCCAACCAGTCGCTGCCTTTCACTGTGTCGTAGAAGTGGAACTTCCAATCGTCCTTGTCCATATTGCTCAGAGCAGCATTTACCCCGCCTTGTGCTGCCACCGTGTGAGACCTTGTCGGGAATAGTTTCGATAGCATCGCAGTCTTAAAACCGCTTTTGGCCAACTCGAATCCTGCACGCATTCCAGCGCCACCAGCCCCAATTACAATAGCATCATATTTATGATCTTTTAATTCGTAATCGGAGTCACAGTCGCGCATCACCTGGGACACATGCCAGAACCGATAGAAGCCGAAGCGATTGAACGACTTTGTAGATGGCAATCGTAACAGACATTTAGCTTTTAAAAGAGTCATTTCGTGTCGAGTGTTTAATGTGTTTGTTTACTGTGTTCTAAATAAAACATCATATTGGCATTTATAATACAATCTCAAAGCCTGCTACCCGAGTTGTTTATACGTGTGTCATCTGCGGAATGAGGATTGTTATGTTAATCTTGTACCAACTACCTACTGTTAGCAACGTTTCCTGAACTTGTATTTCTATATGCATAAAATGTTTTGATTCTAACTTTAATAACTTGCCCGTTTAACTGATTAAATTATAATCCCATTGACTTCAAAGCCTTCCGGCGGATATCTCGCTAGGTAGGACGGCGGAGCTGTGTCGTTTTTAAACGACATAATCTCCCATTCGCCAATCTCGTCATATCTTCGAGCGGAATTATGATACTTTAACAGACATATCTCCGTGCAGAATTATAAAATTCATTATCAAAAATCATGACAATAGATGGATTAGAACTTTTGGCAAAAAACAGTTCGGTGATGATGTAAATTTTGTTTGTGATTTTTTGGAATATCGTTAAAAAGCAATCACGTTTTTTCTCAAAATCGGGGTCGTTTCGAAAATCAAAACTTTTTGATATTTTTCAAATATCTCGTGGCTACATTGATAGGCAGAAAGCGCAAAGCCCAAGAATATCTGTATATATCTGCACATATCAATTCATATTCGTAATGTCAGCCACTCAGCTATACGTATTTAGGAAATAAATATCTTAACTTCACAAAATTCTTTTTGAAAATAGTGTGGATATTCGGAAAATGAATATATATCGTACTCTTATTTAATTCTAAAACACAAAGATTTATCTTTATTATTATTGTTATTTTCTATCTAAATATACATATAGTTACTTTAGTTTAGTTGAATAACCTTTTACAATCATGCAAATGTTATCTAACCAAATTTTTTTCAGCGACTTGAATACATTTTTAGTTACTCTAAATGAACGGTTCTCATTTTTAGTAAGTTTGTCGAGATTTTTATGTTTTTTCAGCTGTTGTTTGTCAAGTAACACCATTGCTAGTATTGCTTGCTATCGACATGCTCGACGTCATATTCTTGCCATTGGGCGAACTAAAAGCTACCCATTTCTACGAAAATCCTCCCAGCGGCAACCAAAACTAACTCAAAGAGGAACGCAACGGCGACGGTTGCAAACAGTTGATTGGCAAGGCAAACAGCGGACGGGCAGCGGCGAGGGATTGCCGCGAGGGGCCCAGTCCACAGTTGACGGTTAGGCCATGCCCATGTCGGACAGTGTAAACATACTTAAGAGAAACGAAAACACGAATTACACCGCTTTTTAACCTGGCCAGACGAGGGCACAGCCATCATGCAATCTAAACAAGACAGCCTAGCTTATCGCAATATGCAAATGCGGTCTTCTATGGGCAAATAGACTGGTTTGAGCCGTCAGGCTATAGGTAGGCAGCGCCAGGGGCAAAGTAAGGTGAGAAACGAAAGACTTGAGACACAAACTCGAACTTAAACTTGAACTTGGGCAAACACATTGCTCTTTAGTGGATATTCCCGAAGGCAGCATCAGCATCAGCTCGGACATGTAATTGCTGTCGGCCTGCTGCAAAGGATACTTGCATGTCCTTTTTGTTCCCGCTATCTGGGTGCCTGATTGCCTGCCTACTAGGACGAACGTATGTGCGTTTCCGTATGTTTGGTTTATGAGTTTACAACCTCAGCCTAATTGAGGCGGGGAAATTCGCTTAGGCTATCCATAAACTCGAATTGTTTGCAAACACAAGCAGAAAGGATTCATCATAAAACGGTACAAAACGCTCCTACAATACGGTGTGGTAAATATTTAGGGCAAGGTCGCGGCAGAATAGATTGAGGTTGAGTTTCCAAGTAAAATCCGCCACGAGACCGAGCTCAAGACCAAGCCTTTTCTTCCGAAGAACTAGTCTCGTCAGTTTATTAATGAAAATGCGACAGCCTTGTGTTCATTTATAAACATTCAGGAGTTCTAAAATGAGATACGCATTAACTGTATACTCGATTTAATAGATTCAATTTGCTTGGGAATCTTTCAGATTCATTTCGTCTTGCTATCTATGCCTTTAGATGTGATAAGCTTACAGCACTTTTTCCCATTTGATTTCTTTTTATTAAATTTCATAGTTTGTTGATTCTTCTCATTTACTCGCCTTTATTGCTGTGTTGTAGGCTTGTAGCCATTGCCGTGGCTCTGTTTGCCTTTCAGCGCCACAGACTGATCAACATTTTCCCCAATCCCCCAGCCCAACTGTGGCGGTCCATTGACACGCCGCGGTGACTTGAGAAAGAGGAATGCATAGATCGAAACGTTTTGACCAGCAGCTGAAAAGGCGCGTGATCTTCAAAAAACACGAACTAGCTATAAATAATTTTCAAAAGAGAAACAATAGCAACACCAATCAGTATCTCATAGAAACAACAACAGTGAGCAATATCAATTTTTTTCCATCACTCGAAGTGTGACGCATGCCCAGAACTAGTAATCTAAATTAAACTATTTCTGCGTGTTACTTATATTTGAATAATATTTATGATCAATTTATATAATGAAGCTATGCAATTTTATAAAAATGCTGAATCATTGTTAATATATAAATATATATATACATGGAATCGTGGCAAAACAACATATTAATAGTTTATAGCTTTCACTTCAAAAAGATTAGTTTAGCTTTACAACGCATAACATGTCATCTATGTGAAGAGTTCCCCAGCTTATCAAGAGTCTCTTAAAAATGTGAGTTCGTTACTTAAAAATTGATTTAAATTATATCGAATTGAATTTTAAAAAATATTTACATCGCAGTCAAATGGAATCGAATGCGCCGATTCTGATGGTATGTTAACCCCACCGTTCAGCTCCGCCTCGAATTTTGGCCAATATATACATATACATATGCGCATGCATACTTATATAAATTGACGTTTGCGGTTAAATGTTTACAACTCGAAATTCAGCTGAAAACTTAACAAAAAAATAAAGTGTGTAGAGAAAAATGCTATGAACGGCAAACCAGTTTTAGGTACAGACGAGACGACCCAGGCCAACAACAAACAAGCATCGTGGAAAAAATACAAAGTTTTAATTGGTTGCACAAACAAAAGTACAAAACGAGCGTCTAAACAAATCGAAGTCACTCAGTCGGCGGTCAAAGTAACGAACACTAACTTCAACCGGGCTCTGTGAGTTGGGTGGATGAATATCAGTTTATTTCGTCATTTGCCAAAACATCTTGCACTTAATAACTGGCGCATGTAAAGCTCGCAGAGAGACAACGCGAGAGATTCTCGTTTCTCAGGATTCAGTCCAAGCTTAACTCAGCTCTCGACGACTGTAGGTCACTCAGCGATCACGATTGAGCAAATCGAACGAGCGACTGCTCATGCTCATGAATGATTGACAAAATCGAAAACCTGAAATGAGGCTTCTACCTGCTGCCAGCGGGTCCAAAGCGATGGCGGGCTGTAAGATCGAGAGAGAGGTAAGTTGTTTTCGTCCGCTTACCTGTTAGAAGGTGTGGCTAAACGAATTGCGATCAGCGGCGTTGGTGATTGATCGCAAGTGCGAGCGAGACGACAATACGCTGGCACTCGTCGGCAATGGCTAAGAAAGAGTTGTATCAGCCATTGAGCCAAACGTGTAAACAAGATGGCATGGGCGCAACAACTCGGCCAAAGAGAAATAGAGGTAACATCGCACAGCGACTACTAAAAAGCAAGCACGGCTTGTGATGGTTGAAAAAATTAGCACCGACCGTCAATCATTAGCTAGGGAACGGTGGCAACGCAAACAACGCACTCAACGGCGGCCGAAAACTGACGACGGCAATTCGAAAAGTCCAAAAAAAAAAAGATCGGCGCAAGCGTTGAGAGCAATTCTCTTCCTTCTGGGACCCACTTAATCGGTATCGGTGAATTTACAGTGAAGTGTGGACGAACCACGAATTAAAATACAAAACTCCATCAAAGAAAATAACTAATATAGTGATTGTGTTCGGTGTGTGACTTAGTGCGTGATCCAAACATTTTAGCAAATTAATTCTCATCTGAATTATTCAAAGGATTACAAGAAGTAGCGTCACCGGTGCGAACCGGAACACACATTTTTGGAATTATGTAAGTTGTTGAATAAACTTAAAAATTAAATTTGCTGACTGAAAATATAACTAAAATTAGATGCGTAATTTATATACCTAGCGTTTGTTATTAAAACCATATATACTATTAAAATGAATTCAGTTATAAATAAGTCAATGGTAAATTGTAAAAGATTTTATTCCTTCGGTTAGTTACAACTGTGTTTCATATTATAGGGACTGAATACAGAGTGTCAGATATACATATGCTAATTTCTTACTATCTGATATTCGACCTATAATATATATAATTTCACAGTAATTTTTGTCCAAATGGAAGATAAATCAATCAACTTGAAAGACACAAAATCGCAAAATTAATTTTTATTCATGACCTTCGAACTTATAACTATATAAACTGCGTAATACAGTTTATGTTTTAGCTTCGTAGGGGCTGGCAAAAAGAACGTTCAACCAGCTTTACTGCGTACAAAAGTCGCAGTAAATAGGTAAAAATTCATAGCATTCTTAGGGGCAACGTATCGTTTAACACTTTAAAAATAAAATAATAAAACAAAAAGCTCAACATTTTCCACCAAGCTATTTATATAATGTGTTAAAAGGTTATTAGCGAACCCATTAACTGTACCTCTATATGATTACGCCCCAAATAATGACCATATACATTTAATTTCGAATTTGTTTTATATTTAGGTAGAAAAATAGTTAACTACGGAATGTCAGTATAACCGTTGCAGACAAATCAAACATAGATGCCTCCTGAATGGAGGAAGGTCTCCTAACAATGTTGTCGAAAAATCCAGGCAAATAGATATGTGAAAACCCAACATAGTAATTTTACTTTATCAACAGAGTATAAATAGTACCCGTCATTAACATTTGTAAATTATTTTCATGAGCTTGTAAGTTATATGCTGACAGCGATATTTATGGTCATTGTTTTGGGCAGCAATGCAAATTTCTTTATGCAAATTTTCAATTGACAAGCCGACTTAAATAAACGTGTGAAAATCAAACATTAAGCCAAACACTATTCCAAGCTCCAAAATTCACAAAACACAAAATTTGACACCCAAAACTCATTCAACACTTCCCAAATGAAACCAACAAGTGACAATAACTCATCTTAATGATCCTAATAATAACTCTAATAATATAAAACAGCAGCGCCAGCGGCCCACGCGACTCTGTTAGGGGCTGGAGGCGCAGCTGTGGACTGGCCAAATGTTCACACGCAAATTAGGAGGGACATAAGAATTTGCTTGTGCCGACACGACCGCAGGCATTTTAATCGGCTCGACAACAACAATGGCAGAGAGCCACACAGGCCAGTTGAGCTATGTTAACCAATTACGAAGCATGTGAAAATTATCCTATTAAATACAAATCAAAAGAACCAAGGAAATTTCACCCCCGACATGGTAGTTGTCGGGCCCCTGGTCCCTGGCCCCGGGCCCCATTCCCCAAACCCCAACCCCGCACCCGTGGCGTTCAGCTTCCGAGTTTAGTACTTGACAAATGCTTACTAATTAATTACAGTTTGTACAATATTTTAGTATGCGTCTCATAAAGTGCGTTTATCAACGTTGTTGCTCAAGCGAAAAGTGTGCAGAAAACAAAAGTGTGATAATATCTTTAACAGCCACGCCCACCGAACTGTAGAGGAATTGACCTACTGATTCTCTCGCCTTAAGCCGGGCGACCACCTGCATGTGACGGTGCAAAGTGGACGCGTTATACAGCCAGAGGCTAAATTAAATTTTTGGTTTATTTTCCTGTAAAATGAAGTGTGAAATTTAGCGAATCCGTTTAATCGCAACCGATAAGCGCCAAATGTGTGCAACTGCCACTGTTCATGCCACCCGCCAGCAACGTTGAGACTAAACATATCCTTAAAGGATAGGTGCAACTTGTTAAGCATATCAATTCTATCTTAGAGGTGTTATGCACTAATTGCCCTTGCAAACAAATATCTGATGCACATTATGTTTCTATACTTATCCAACAATTCATATTCGAAATGTTTTTGCACAAACTAAGTTTCGTTAAGTTTGAAATATCGATCAAAACAAACTAGTTTTTCATAAATGTGAAAGACAACTTTACAACCGGATGATAAGTTCAAGAAACAGATAGTTGGACAGACAGAAAAGCTTGGCAATATTAATTTCAAGGCGATAAGTACAGCTTGCAGAATGTTTTTACCTTAATGCCACAAAAGTTTCCATAAAATTATGATATATCTATAATTATATAGAAACATATATTTAAACAGCGATTTCGTGAAGGCTAAATAACAAAAAAACGTAGCATAGGAGTATCTAAGCTTTTCTACGCGCATTTGAATCTGCAAACCATCTACAAATATATTTTAAATGGCCAAATAAGATTTGTTCCAAAAATATTTGAACATAAATAATTACTAACACGCAGATTCAAACCTTTTGCTATGGGTAGAGGATGTATACATTTAAACTTTCAAGTATGTGTGTGTGTGTGTGTCTGTGTGTGTATGTATATATGTGCAGAGGGTATACGAAATGGTCTGAGTAAACATCAAAGTCACGAAATCATTCAAAAATCAACATCGCAAAGTAGATGGGGAAAAAGTCCAACCAAAAGCGTCATGGCAGCCATCAAATGTTAAAGTTAAAGTACATAGACAAACACACACACACTCGCACACACACACGCGCGCGCTCACAAACACATATTGTCGTTCACAGACACGTGTTCAGACAGCATACAAAAACGGCTTTTCATTAGGCCCTGAGTTGGAGCGGTGCGAACTGATGTGGAATACAACCCAAATCTCATACATACCTATGTATACTAGCCATATATATGCTAGGGGCTTAACACAAATGCATTAAACAACTATTAATATTAAATTAAATGTTTTAAAATAATGCTGTGTGGTTAAATTTAAACCAGTGAAATAAAGTTGAACACTCTAGAGCTTATACACAATATAAGATTGGTGTCTGCTATATTACACTATGGAAAACCCTCATAAAATGACAATCCCCTTACATGATTCAATCATATTTTTTGGGATTAAAGACCTTCGATTAGAGGCACATTTAGGGCAAATAAAGGTCAAAGACAATTGAAAATATATATAAATTAAAAATAAATCAAAATTAACCCGAATGAAAAACAGTTAAGACAAGCCAGCTTGAGATAAAATTGAGGAACAATGCATTCCTAGCCAAACCCCAAAAGAAAATATATTCCAAAGATCTGAAGTTGGCCCATAAAAATCCTAGCTAAAGAATTCGGGTTGGAGTTCAGATGCTGCCAGTTGCCCTAACGTCGGCATTCCACCTCCAATTACGTAGCTCAATAAAAACAAGCAAAACAATTAATACATTTTGTTAATTTATGATTACAAAACATTGCGAGAAACACTTTCAGTGCCAGACCAGAATTTAGACATCACCAAGCAGATTTTAAGCGCATTTCTTTTTTTCGCCGCCGCGTTTACAATCCGAGTACTGTCCCGGGCCTTAGCCATAAGAACGGAATAGGCAGCGACTCTGGCTGCGAGGCCGGAGTAAACAGAGGTGTTTGTTACTGTTGCCACGGCCATAAATAAAAAGGGTGCCCGCTGTTTATGGCCAGTCAGCATCCACGACTGCGTCCGAGGTTCGAGCTCCGAGACCTGAGCATGAGTCGGAGTCTGAGTTTGAATTGGAGTCTCAGACCTGGGCAAGGCATAGCTAAAGTGTGCAATATAATTAAAAGCCGACAACAGACATGGACCGGCCATTCTTCTGATGCGCCCGGGACAGTGCTGTAAATGTATAAAGTGCTGGGATGAGCCGTCGGTCAGGCAGGCCAACTGTCTTTGATGTAATTCCAATGACACAGCGTCAACAAACGAATAACTCAAATTCTAAAGTTAAAGTTTTAGTATCTGCTTTGAGTACAATCCACAATATTAATATACACAATTAATGATAAATAAATTGTCATTCTGATTATAATAATAACCGGTCAAACGACGGTAAAAGATAATTTTGCTGTTACAGCTCGATAACATAAACATAATCGTAGCTGGGCAACACGTAATAATAATAAATTTCATCTGCAAAAAATATTTAATTATTAAATAATAATAAACGTATGCAAAACAATTGTTAAGTATATTTTTATCGAGGTAATCTGATTTTAGTTATAATTGGTCAAACTATTTAGCTGCATAAAACTTTTTTTTCAAAAAATAAATTCATATATCATCATTAAAACTTCGTTTAACATACAACAAATGTTGTTTTGTATAATAGCAATAATAATTAATCATTCTTATCAAGGCTATGAGTGGTCATTTTTAAAAATTATATCCTAGACATCCGAGACTTTTGACTGATTGCATCGAGTTCATATTGTCTTTGTAACTTTCGGATTTAGATTAAGATCTTGAAAATTTAATCACACATTGAAATATATAAATCAACCAACTCCACTGACTTGTATGAAGTTTTTTTCTAACCAGCATCTGCTCTCGCTTTTTTTTGCAGTTGACATGACCACATCGCATATCCTGTCCGCCGTGGATCCCACAACCGGCCTTAATGGAAATGTGGCAGCCGGTGGTAACGGTGGCGCTGGCGGCGACTCCCCCTCTCCACATCACGCAGCCCACAATGGGCATGGGCACGGACATGGACTGGGTGTTGTCGGTGGTGCTGTTGCATTGGGCTCAGCGGGTGGAGGCGGCGGTCATCGCATTGTCGGCGGCGCTGGCAGTCCCAATGAACTGGATCGCAATCTGCGCGTCTCGCTTGATGACCGAGAGCTGTGGCTACGCTTTCAGAATCTTACCAACGAGATGATCGTCACCAAGAACGGCAGGTGAGTTGTGATCTTACCTGTTGCGCGGCCCTTCTTCTGGCAGTGCAACGTGTTAAATGGAAGTTAACGTGGCCAACAGCGTCGACTTTGGTTTTGCGGTGCATTTTGTTTTCCTATGCAAATTGGCAATGAGTTTTTTGCGCATTTGTTTTTGCTGCAATGATTTTTCATGTGGGGCTGTTTGCACCTTATAATGAAGCGTTAACGTTTCTATAGCTCCGCTTATACAAATGCACATACATAATACAGACATACACACACACACGCATATACTATATGTAGATACTTTTGTTTATAAGTATTTATTTACATGCGAGCGTTCGTGAAAATGACTAAAAAATATTTACCAATCTACCAGAGCATGTATATATTTATATAAACAATATATATATAGTGACATATCCATAGTCGCACCCACCCTTTAACATAACTTAGCACATAAGCATAAGCACAATTATAAACATTTCTAATATTGTAAACAAAGAGCCTGGTGATAACATCGACATTGGTCAAGATCAAACTGTCCCCCTTTGGTAGACATAAACAATTCACCCTAAATATCACGCCACTGTCAATGTTCCCATCAGAGTACTATCCCACGCATAATTGCTGACGCAGCTCAAACTTCACTCAATTTTGACTCAAACTCTCTCAAAGCGAAGTTTGCTAAGCGACCGCAACAGTTAGATAAATCAGTTCTTATTCGGGAAGCAAATCTGAATGTACTCAACAAAAGTAGCCGTTAAGTGAAAATAATAAATTGAAATATATTTTTTTATAGTAACCTAACGTGCAAAACTTAATTGGCGCAGCCGGTAGGATACGTCGGGAAAAATTAAAGATCGCTAAAGGATAATTAATTCCCAGATCTAACGCACAATCGCGACCGAAAGTGTTGTCGGAGTGTAATAAAAATTTTCTCGAATACGTATCCGCACAAGAACCTTCGGGTCATTAGTAGCTTAATAATATTGACCCTTTGGGCAATAAAGCTACTACAGTTAATAACGACTGGCTTTGCATATCGTTTGATCCCTGCAATACGTTATTACTGAGTCTTTTTAAGACACACACACAAAAAAAAAAAAAAACATTTAACCAATAATCCATCACAAACTTTAACCTAAAATAAAAGTGCAAAATCAAAGAACAATAAAGTTCAAACCTACAAACTCAAAACTATTCAAAAAAAAGTGTATTACACCAAGATGACAATGGAATTATCAGAACAACACCTCAACCAGGCCCTTTCACAACTTAGACAGGTGCCAAGCTTTGACGGATCAACGGATCAACTAAACGCCTTCATTAAAAGGATAGATTACATCCTACACCTGTATCCAACCCGAGATGTTAGACAACATAGCATCTTATACGGAGCCATCGAATTGCAAGTCACAGGAGATGCTCAGAGAATATCACAAAGGACAGCAGCCAACACTTGGCAGGAGCTGAGAAACGCATTGATTGAAGAATACAAAGTGCAGACACCATTTGAAGAACTCCTTCGACGCTTATACAACACGAATTACCAAGGAAACGTCCGTAAGTTCATCGAGGAGCTCGAGAATAAATCTTTTGTTATATTAAATAAGTTAGCACTAGAAAATATACCTAGCAATACAACCCTTTATACAAATGCTATGAATAACACAATCAAAGATGTTATTACAAAAAAATTACCAGATAGGCTTTTCATGATGTTAGCCAGACACGACATTACGTCGACACAAAAACTAAAGCAAGTAGCTCAAAGAGAGGGATTATATGAAAATAGCTTTACTGAAAAACCTAAAAATAATAATGTTCAGGGAAATCCAAATAACAATCGTAGGAACATGGGAAATTATCAGCAAAATGCTAACCCAACCACCATTTCAAGTGGTTATTCCAACACAAATCAGAGTTATCACGCACAAAATAAACAGCACAATAAGTCCGAAGACAATCAGAAAGCTCACCACGAGTTCCAACAGAAATTAAGTCAAGGTAGATACCAAAATCCCTTAAACTACCAAAATCAGTCCCATTCACGCTTGAATGCACCAAACCCTCCGACTAAACGTCAAAGAGATAGTAACAGTGGGCAGATGAAAATGGATACATCCGAAAATTTTCATCAGCAAGCCTCGGAACAAACAGAAGAAATCCATTCATAAAATTGATTATGAATGACGAAGTTCTAAAATGTGTCATCGACACAGGTTCAACCATTAATCTAATGAAAACTAACCGCTTAAATTTTCCAGTTTACAACGAAACATTAAAGGTTCACACCATAAATGGTGTTATTGAATTAAAACAAAGTATACGATTAGGAGCAAGCAAAATTTGTCCGAGCAAACAAAAATTCTATATTCACGACTTCTCAGAGCATTATGATGTTCTGATTGGGAGAGAATACCTTGAGGCATGTCAAGCAAAAATAGACTATGCACAAGGATCCGTAACCTTAGGAGAATTTAACTTTTGTTTTAGATATAACGACGAAGAGGTCGAAGAGGACATGACCGCACAAGAGTGCCTTGATCCACCCTCAACAGAGGACAGACCATTTAACTTCGCTATAAATAATGAATTAATAGAAAACAATGAGTTTAGGCTAGAGCACCTAAACTCAGAAGAAAAAGAAAAAATAAAAAAAGTTTTACATGAATTTCGTGATATCCAGTACCATGAAGGTGACAATTTGACTTTCACTAGTACAATTAAACACAAAATTCTAACAAAACATGAGGACCCAATTTACAAGCGTCCATACAAATATCCTCAAATATACGATGAGGAAGTAAATAAACAAATAAGCGATATGATAAAACAAAATATCATACGTAAATCCAAATCCCCTTACTGCTCACCAGTAATAATCGTTCCAAAGAAAAACGATGCATCTGGAAAGCAAAAATTCCGGTTAGTCATAGATTACCGCAATCTCAATGAACTAACTATTAATGATAAATACCCTATCCCGATCATGGATGAAATATTAGACAAACTTGGAAAATGTCAATATTTCACAACCATTGATCTAGCCAAAGGCTTTCACCAAATCCAAATGGATCCTGGTTCAATACCCAAGACCGCATTTTCGACTAAACATGGCCATTACGAGTACACTCGCATGCCATTTGGTCTTAAGAATGCACCTGCAACGTTCCAACGTTGTATGAACAATCTCTTAGAAGATTTAATTTTTAAGGATTGTCTGGTCTACTTAGACGACATTATTATTTTTTCCACTTCATTGGAGGAACACATTTTGTCGCTACAAAAGGTATTTAAGAAGCTTAGAGAAGCTAACTTAAAACTACAGTTGGATAAATGCGAGTTTATGAGAAAAGAAACTGAATTTCTCGGTCACATCATCACAACTGAGGGTATAAAACCAAATCCCAACAAGATACAAGCAATTGTCAAATTCCCAATTCCAAAAACCCCAAAAGAAATTAAATCATTTCTAGGATTATGTGGTTTCTATAGGAAATTTATACCAAATTTCGCTAATATAGTAAAACCATTAACACTTAAATTAAAAAAGGGAGCAAAAATCAATATAAAAGACAGAGACTACGAACTAGCGTTTGAAAAGCTAAAAGTACTCATAACATCCGACCCAATTTTAATATACCCTAACTTCGAAAAACCATTTTCATTAACTACAGACGCGAGTAATATGGCAATAGGGGCCGTCCTTTCGCAAGAGCATAAGCCTATATGCTATGCAAGTAGAACTCTCAACGAGCATGAGTTAAATTATTCAACGATTGAAAAAGAATTATTAGCAATCGTTTGGGCCACTAAATACTTTAGGTCCTATCTCTTTGGTCGACAATTTCAAATCCTTAGTGATCACAGACCACTCGTCTGGTTAAATAATATGAAAGAACCTAACATGAAATTACAAAGGTGGAAGATCAAGCTAAATGAGTTTGATTTCCAAATTAAATACGTCCCAGGAAAAGAAAATTATGTGGCAGATGCTCTGTCCAGAATTCAATTAAACGAAAACTTCTTAGGCGAAGATACAATTAGCACAAGAGCAACAATACATAGTGCTCAAGAAGACAACAGTAACCATTTACAAATCACAGAAAGACCACTTAATTATTATAATCGACAAATAGAATTTGAAAAAGGAACCGAGAACGAAACAAAAGTTACGAATTACTTTCACAAAACCAACATAAAAATTACGTACAAAGACATGACTAATACGCATGCCAAAGAATTAATAACAGAATACTTATGCACAAAGAAAAGTGTGCTATACTTCCACAACGAAGCAGATTTTCCAATTTTTCAAGAAGCCTACTTAGAAATAATAAGTCCAAATAATTCAACAAAGGCAATGAAAACTAGTACAAAATTAATAGACCTTCAAACATACGCAGAATTCAAAGAATTAATATTAAAAAAGCACAAAGAATTATTACATCCAGGAATTGAAAAAACTATTAATTGGTTCAAAGCAACCCACTATTTCCCAGATTATCAAAATTTAATTCAAAATCTAATAAATGAATGTGAGATTTGCAACATCGCAAAAACAGAACACAGAGATACAAAATTAACTTTCGAAATAACTCCGGAAATCGCTAATATCCGAGAAAAATATGTAATGGATTTTTACATAGTAGGAGATAAACAATTTTTATCTTGCATTGATATCTATTCAAAATTTGCATCATTAATAGAAATAAAAAGTAGAGACTGGCTAGAAACCAAACGAGCTATATTACAAGTGTTCAACCAAATGGGTAAACCCATCGAAATAAAGGCAGACAAAGACTCAGCTTTTATGTGCACAGCTTTACAATTATGGCTAAAATCAGAAGCAGTAAATATTAATATAACCACTAGTAAAAATGGTATATCCGACGTAGAACGATTTCATAAGACAGTTAACGAAAAACTAAGAATCATTAACAGCGACTCAGACGTCGAAAATAAACTTACAAAATTTGAAACTATACTCTACACGTACAATCATAAAACAAAGCACAAAACGACTAACAGAACACCAGCGGACATATTCATATATGCAGGTACACCAGAGTATGACACTCAAGCTAATAAAGAAAAACTAATAAATAATCTCAACAAAAAACGAACAAATTATGAAATTGACACTAGATACAAACACTCACCGTTAGTTAAATCAAAGACGACAACCCCGTTCAAGAAAACAGGAGAACTAAGACAAATCGACGACAAACATTTTGAGGAAACTAACAGAGGCAGGAAAATAACACATTACAAAACCAAATTCAAAAAGAAAAAGAAGACTAATCAAAGCAAATATAACAATTACAGGTCAACAACAGACAGCGATCAAAACATACAAGCACCAGCTTAAATTAATTATTATAATATTACTATCAATAACTGTAAACTATATAAATGCACAGAGTATTGAAATTAATCCTATCAAAGCCCATAACGGATATCTCATATTTAAAACAGGAACCATAGACATTCCGACAGATTACGAATTCCACTGTTTAACGGTTAATATAACAAAAACCGAAGAAACTTTTAACAATTTAATTGAACAAAGTAAAGAATTCAATAACCTTATACAAATCGAATACCTAGTAGAAAAATTAAACAGAGAAATAAACGGCTTAAAAATAGCCAAACGCAGCAAAAGAGGTTTAGTTAACATAGTAGGAACAGCATATAAATACTTATTTGGAACATTAGATCAAGAAGACAAAGCAGAAATTGAACAAAAAATAAGCAACTTAGCAGAAAACAGCGTCCAGGTTAACGAATTAAATTATATAATAGAAGCTATAAACAAAGGAATAGAAATCATGAACGAACTAGATCAAGAGAAACAAAAAGGAAAGAAATTAGATATCCTTATATTTAACTTACAACACTTTACAGAATATATAGAAGACATTGAGATGGGAATGCAGCTCACAAGATTAGGAATTTTTAACCCAAAATTACTAAAACATGACTATTTGTTGCATGTTAATTCTGAGAAATTGTTGAATACAAAAACTTCCACTTGGTTTAAATCAGATACAAACGAAATACTGATAATATCCCATATTCCTCGAGAAATAATAAAAAGCCCGGTATTCGAAATAATTCCATACCCGGATGAAAATAATAATATTTTGACAGAAATAGCTCATGAAAAATATTTTACCCAAGATAAAAAAGTTTATAGCAGAGAAACAAAAAAATTAATTAATAATGAATGTTTAACAGGAATTTTAAACCAAATAACATCAGAATGTAGTTATACTAAAATTTTGCAAAATTTTCAAATCAACTACATAGAACCAAATATAATTTTAACTTGGAATTTACCAAAAACTATATTAAACCATAATTGTATAAATAACGAAATAACAATAGAAGGAAACAATATAATAAAAATCTTTAATTGTTCATTGCAAATTAATGAAATTTCAATTTCAAACAATATGTTAGATTATACTCAAAGCATTTACGTAAGCAATGATGTTATAAAATTAGAACCACTTTCGTTTGTACAAACGAAACAAATTATAAATGCACATACAAAATTTAACAATGTATTCCAGATAATTACAATAACCATATTTGTAATCATATTAATAAGTTTAACACTGTATTTGACATATAAGTTCAAAAGCATACCTAAGAAATTAATTATAAAATATAAAAAACCCAAAGTAGAAGAAACACCTACAATAATAGGAGATATACCAATTGTAAAAGAAGAAAATGTTACACTATATCCAAACTTAAACACCTGAGGACAGGCACTTTTCTAATGGTTGGGGGAGTGACATATCCATAGTCGCACCCACCCTTTAACATAACTTAGCACATAAGCATAAGCACAATTATAAACATTTCTAATATTGTAAACAAAGAGCCTGGTGATAACATCGACATTGGTCAAGATCAAACTGTCCCCCTTTGGTAGACATAAACAATTCACCCTAAATATCACGCCACTGTCAATGTTCCCATCAGAGTACTATCCCACGCATAATTGCTGACGCAGCTCAAACTTCACTCAATTTTGACTCAAACTCTCTCAAAGCGAAGTTTGCTAAGCGACCGCAACAGTTAGATAAATCAGTTCTTATTCGGGAAGCAAATCTGAATGTACTCAACAAAAGTAGCCGTTAAGTGAAAATAATAAATTGAAATATATTTTTTTATAGTAACCTAACGTGCAAAACTTAATTATATATATATATATATATATATATATATATATATATATATAAATATAGGTAGACATATGCCTGTGTGTGTGTGTGTGTCCGCGTCTGTTCGTATGCAAAACGCGCTTAGAACTTGGACTCAACCGCCCCGGTCTCTGGTCTCCGGTCCCGAACAGGTGCTAATTAACGCGGCCCGGCAACAGCCGCCATCTTGTACTAATTGTTGTGGAACAGTGCGCGGATGGCGCGTTTCAATATTTGTCCGAAACTGACACCGGCACCGACACAGAGGCCGACGGGGCGATGAAGCCAGAGATGCAAGCCCGTCCAAATGGAGGCAGTACAGGTATCCATAGAACCACGCCGCAACGGCGAAATGATGAAATGAAAAAACTCTGGCATTCAAGTGTCTATTTGTCGAATAGAATATTCATTGCGTACAAATGCAATATAACTGTGAAGCGCACCCGTTTTAATTGCGATCCTCTACATTGTTTTGCAGGAGAATGTTTCCGGTTGTGAAAATCAGCGCCTCCGGCTTGGATCCGGCTGCCATGTATACGGTTTTACTGGAATTCGTGCAGGTCGACACCCATCGCTGGAAGTACGTCAATGGCGAATGGGTATGTGCATGAAACTATTTGAAAAACATCTCAGCAAAACAAAACGCCTTTAAGCTAGGCACCTCGTTTATAAAGTAATAAGTGCCTTGATAATAATTACTACATAATTATATAAAGCCCGAAGGCATGGGCCATGGACCGTGTGCCTAGTCCATTGTGTTTTTCTTTTCACTTTTCCAGCCAGTTCTCGCCCGCGGTAAAATTAAAAGTTACCTTAAGCCTCATTTTTAAAATGAGCTTGATGTCGATGGAAGCAAAACAAAAGGCTTCAATATGCAAAATCATTCCTTTACAAAATCAGTGGGAAACACACTAATTAATTTGTGTTGAAGATTTTATAAAATAATTTTAAAGTTTTATGCAGGAGTGGTCCGTAAATATATTCCTTCTTGTGTAATCTAGATTATTTCAGCAATTTAAGGCCAATGGAATACAAACATTATTGTTCACCCACACAACCTCCATTTGCACCTACGGATTAGGCTGTGCGTTAATCACCAATCAGCTATTAGGGACAAACAGCTTACGCGACAGAATAAGTTATTCAATCATGTAGAATCAATAGCATCACAAGTGTTGCGTTTCAATTTGATTACTGGTCAATCGTGATATACACATTATATATTCGACTCTATTTAATTTCCCTCAATTTTATCAGTTTAAACAACATTGTCTTTTTTCTAAACAGGTACCCGGTGGAAAGGCGGAGGTCCCACCCTCGAATCCCATATATGTACATCCCGAGTCACCTAATTTCGGAGCCCATTGGATGAAGGAGCCGATTTCCTTTGCCAAAGTCAAGTTGACAAACAAAACCAACGGCAACGGACAGGTAAGTCAACGATGCATTTTTTGGACTTCGTAATGCTGACTTTCTGTTACTTCTTTTGTTACAGATAATGCTGAACTCATTGCACAAGTACGAGCCCCGGGTTCACCTGGTTCGAGTGGGCTCCGAGCAGCGTCACGTGGTCACCTACCCGTTTCCAGAGACTCAGTTCATTGCGGTGACTGCATACCAAAACGAGGAGGTCACTTCACTAAAAATCAAGTACAATCCGTTCGCGAAGGCCTTTCTAGATGCTAAGGAGCGTCCAGACACGCTCTACCCGCACGACACCCACTACGGATGGCTTATACCTCCGCCCACCCACTACGCGAGTGCTGCTGCAGTTCAAGCACCGCCACCACCGCTTCCCATGGCACAGACGCATGCCCTAGTGGCAACTTCTTCAGCCGCCTCCTCGGCTTCCGTGTCGGCCAGCTGCGATCGCTATGGTCGCGCTCTGTCCACACGCAGCTCAGCGCCAAATCGCACGACGCCCTACAGTAGGCCTCGCGTTGTCTCGGGCTCCGGTTCCAATGGCAGCGCGGGCAATGCCTCCTCTTCCTCGCCGCAGCCTCCGTCTGCGCCTCAGACACCAACCAGTCTGCAATCGTCAATCGGCTCGGTCAGCACCAGCACCGGTACAAACACAAGCGCCAATGTTGGTAGCAGTGGAGCCAGTGGCTGTTTCACCAGTTCCTACTCGCAGTCGGGCTTTGTGCCAGTGGAAGCAAGCTCAACAGCATCGGTATTCTCATATCCTAGTAGCTGGCAGGGCAACAGCAATTACTGGAGTCCGACGAGTGTGCCCGGTCCCATGCCCATGAACGTGTGCAGCAGCCGCAACATATGTATGTGCTTCGCATTCAAATCGATATTACCTTCACCACTTATATCGTTAATCATTGGCCATTTTAGCAACGCATAATTCACCCTCGCCCACGAATGGTTCGCCAAGCTACACGACACCATCGCCTGGCTATACTATACACCACCTGACGCCGCATAGCCACCAGTACAACATGGCCCAGACGGATCTCTATGCGAGTGGAGCGGCTTCGTCGAACTCTCCGCAAACCTATGGAGCACCCACACACCAGGTGTATCATCCGACACCAACCTCTCCCACCCACCAGCTGTACACAAACGTGCTAAACGCGCCCTCTGCGCTGAGCTATCCGGCTAGCGGCTGGCACAACAGCTCCGGCGCCGAGTACGGACTCTACCAAAACGCGGCTGCGGCCTATTACCAGCCGGAGTATATACCACTAGAGATAGGGTAAGTGATTGGGCAGCCAGTTGAACCGCGAACTCTACACCTATATCGCTAAAGTAGCTATCAATGATTCCACTCTCGAATCGCGATACATGTTACAGCTATGCCACCCATCCGCTGGAGCCCGTAGACGTTACGAAGACGCTTGATGAAGCACAGTCCGCCATGTACAAGCCAACCGAAGAGCAGAGCTCCGTCATCACTCTGGAGTGCGCCAGTGCCAGTGCCAGTCTGAAAACCGCCCACAATCACAACGACATCAAGCTAGAATCCCTAGAGCACAACATGGATCGGAACGCTGTTCCAACCGCAACTGTGCCCAGCGCTGTGCCTACGGGAATGCCCACATCCGTGGTCACCGCTGTAAGTGCTGACACTTGGACACCGCTTACACCACCTCAAAGCACTCTGCAGTGATGGTCAGCTACTTAGTTAAAAGAACAAAATAAAAAACAAATTAAAGAACATACAGCCATCGCACCGCCCCAGCCTTTAGACGCATGTCTCCTAAGTTAATTGGATGAATCGAATAATTGAGTTACATTTTAAGACCTTCACTAGTACCACAGCATGCAAAGTACACTGTAGCAAATATTTTCCTAAACTATTATATATATATATACATATACATACTTATAAAGTGGCTTTCTATAAAGTTTCTATTGTATTACATTAAAATATGCCTGCTATTATCAAAGTCTATAATTAAATTCAAGCACATCATCTAGAATTCGTTAAATAAACGTCGAATTTCCATACGATCCGCTGATTGTTCTATAACGAAACTAGCCTTAAGCGGAAAACTCTTATCAGAGTGCCTCCTAACTAAAGAAAGTTATTCTCTATATATAAGACTGTTAGTGCTGATCAACCCACCAAATAGCGGAGTTCCTCATTTGTTTACTATTCAATCAAATTCTAAATCATTTTCAAAGATCTCTGTGAGAACTCATTTGAGACGTGTTTTACATAATCCACCAGTCCTTGGATAGAAGTACTGATCAAATGTTGATTTGTTTCGGCTTTAAGCTTCACAACATGGAATTAAAGGGGCAAATGGGTTTAGTACACCTTTTATTTCTTAATTCGATGGATTTCAAACTCATTTTGTCATTTCTAAGTAGTACTAACTTAAGTATTCAAGTCAAGTCAAGATAGTTCGGGCAGATTTCATACCGGGAAATACTAACCATGGGGAGAAATGAGAGAGAGAGAGAGATTACTAATCATATATGTATGATGATGACAACAGATATTTTGTTGGTCCTTCTGGTGAACAATACCCTTAAGCACGTTGGTATTCATTTTCGTTACGAAACCAAAGCAGAAATAAAGTTTGCTCGTGGTTAATGAAACTAAACGAATTGCTTAAATCAAAGGAGCGTTCAATTTTCCACAGAACTTGTTCGCAACTACTTTGGGGCACTCACGTTGAAACAATAGAGCCCTCAAACGCATTGAGACCTGCATGGGAGCAGCCACAGAATGTTATCCGGGCCACAATCTGCTTGCCTGAGTACCAGAAATCCATGAAGCCATGAACACAAAATGCACCACAAAGAGACGTGATAATAATGAGTTGAATTGCATGTACATACACACGGCATTGTAAACAGGGCACTAGAAAGTTGAAAGTTGAAAGTAACGTCCACTGAATGTGCCACCATTACAAATGTTCCAGCTGTCAGTGAATAGCTGGACGCAACAGCATACACCCACAGACACCCACAGCTCCCCTGTGACTGGAGTGCAATTAAAAATACATGCCAGAATCATTTACGAAGGAATGCGCCTCGGAAAGGCGTAACAGTACGCCTGTTAATGGGAGAAATGCGAGCACGATAGTGGCCATGGGCAGCAACAGCTGGTGTTAGCACTTACCTGGTAGTCCATTGAATTGCCGTAGCCCATGTGATTGCAGGAGCATGAGCAATGCTTGATATGATGTTCCAGCTCATCTTCAATGGTGGCGCCGGCTAGCGTCACCTTATGCCCATAGCAGGCAACGCTCAAATCCTGATGATATTTGACTTGCTTACGTCCCAATCCGTGCTCCCAATCGCCTTCTCGTTCCCGTGGCAGATAACGAGCTTCGGCTGTTTGACTCTCAGCCAGCTGATTTGTGGCGGCTGTCATGCCCATCATGGCCAGCGGCTGACCAATAATCTGTTGCTGTTGTTGCTGTTGCTGATAGTCAACAGCACCATCCCCCGTAGCGGCCGCCTCCAGGGAAGTGGACTTTAATATGCGCTTGCCGCCTGTGGATTGCATTGGCCGATTGCGGCTGGGGCTCGGGCCAGGACTGTGACTCTCTTGCGCTGTTAATGTTAAGTTAGCACCACGTAAGAGCGAGTGCTCAAAGCTTTTGGGCCTGTGAAAAGCTTCGTAAGCAACAGTTTCGGCATTGACATCGTCCTCGCCAACGCCGTGGGCCTGATAGCGCCTGCCTGGCCCACCAGTTGCTGCTGCTGCCGCTGCTGAGGCAGTCACAGTCACAGCCGAGCTGGCTGCGGTTAACATTAGGCTAAGACGCAGCAGCTCATTGGAGTCCGCTGGCGGCAACGGCACACTGCACGAGCCCGTCTCTGTGGCGCTGTCGGCTGCTTCAGATTCCAGTGTCTCCACATTAGGTTCGTCCGAGGTGGTGGACTCCAGTTCGCTCGGCTGCTGTTCTTGCTGCTGCAATCGCGCCCGCTGACCAATAATTGAGGCGGCCGTAGAGTTGGCGCCGTACTTCCAATATGTTTTGTTGGTGCCCATTATACGCTGCAACTGCGGCGGCGTCGACGCCTGCGTTGCATGACTCTGACGCTTCTGACGCTCCAACTGTTGCAGCGTCTTGAAGGTTTTACGTACCGGTTGCGTGTGATGCAGCGTGGCACAGCGCCGCATTGGCGGTGGAGTATACACGGGTGAGACACTGTAGCTATGAGAGTGGCGGGACGGTGACAGCGATCCGCTAGATTTGGCACCCACAAGACGTGCCTTGAGTTTCTTGCCAAAACCGACACCGCCACCGCCGCCGATGCCGCCAACGCTACCAGCTCGCGGTGACAGGGAGTGCGCTGAAAGGGAGAGCGCGCGGGAAAACTTTAAGCGGGCGCTGCTGGCCACACTGCCTGGCGAATGACGTTTGGTGGCTATCAGCTGGCATTCATCGATGGTGGGCAACTTGAGAAGATGTGGATGCAGTTGCGCATAGGTCAGGGCTGGCTTAGCATTCGCATTGGCCAAGCTAATGCTGCCATTTTCAGGACCACCTGTTGGAAGGGGCGCCTCAAAGAGATTCCTCTGGCTGAGTGCCAGAAACTCCTTTTGCTCCTCTTCCTCGAGCGCTTTCAGCGCACACAGATCCCATTCGCCAGATGTCATTTCCTGCTAAAGACTATCCTTAATTTCGCAATTTTACACTCACATCTCTGGGCACGCGTCTGCCGAGCGCGTCACAAACTGCGTAAACGTCAGCAAGCACACGGGGCTATTGGCGCACTGAACACTGTCAGCACGCAGCACCGTTACTTTATAACGGCCACACGAGCAACAAATGCCTTCCACAATGTGGAACGTAAGTGACCTAGCTTAACATTTGCGTCAGTGGGTCGCTCTGTTAATGGACAGCACTGAGAAAATCTCTGACTGTGGATGGATTCCTTTAGATGGCTGGCGAACAACAATTAAGAGTGCCCCAGCCAAAAGTGTTCGACTGAGAGATACCCTGTACCCAACTATGCAACACACCTGCATTTCACAAACAACGCTGCAATCTTTTTTCTTGCTTTGTTTCGTATTTATACTCGAGAGTGCTCAACTAGGAGATACCCTGTACCTGTAAATCTGTAATACATTTACATTCTTACAATTATTTTTCGTATATTCTCTAAACTATCGTTAGCCCACTGTTAAAAGGTGAATAGTTGTGCAATAATACTTTCCAATTGCTGCCATTTATCCAACTAATCTGACTTAAGGTAAATAAAATGTCGATTTTCATGCTAAGGCTGGCGCAGCTTAAGCCCAATTCAAAATAAACTTATAAAAAACTCAATTTAGAATTTGTTGAAATCTAAGTTAAGCAATGTTGCTTAACATAATCTTCTTCCCAAGCTTAAAAGATATTCCGAAATGAGTATGTAGCTCGTTTTGCTTCCCTGTTGTAAGTGTTAATAATACTGTGACATTGCTAATAGCCGTGTCACAAGGAAAAATGAACGTGCATTTATTTTCGATCCAATTTCGCAGCCAGTAACAAAGGCGGCGCTGACATTTTTGAAAACCTCAGCGGTCTTGGCAGTGCCCCCTTTCCTCGACATACCGCAGCCGCTCATCATCGAGCTGACAGCAGCGACATCAGTTAACGTAACAATGCGTGGCCATATATTTATATGCACACACACACACACACACACACACACAGGCACACACACGTGCATACTACTAACACATGAACAGGCGAGGACATTGCACATACTTGCATACTGTGCATACATTCACAGGAGACCTCATCCTTCATCCTTGATGTATGGCCATCACTTCTAAGCTTCTAAACTGCTCTCACCGAATTGTGTTAATGAAATTCAAGTCCGTGCGCCAGATATTACAATCGTGGTAGATGTGCGAGCATGTGCTATAAACCTGAATACAAAATACAATGTACAATGCATACAATTTATAGAACATAATTCATAGAACACACAAAATGTAATATGTGTTGTTATAATCAGTTCCGGGTGGCCTTCTGTTTATCTCAGCATTAATCAATCCGCGTCGGATAAAATGTTAATATTGATTCATTACGCACACGACTGGACGGCAAAAATTCTACAGATTCAGCTTAAGAACCTGAGACAGCAAATTTTCAAGAAACCAGTTATTAGCAAATTATTTCTATCCCCACAAGTTACAACTTTCGATGATTCCTAAGGTCAGAGTGTGAGTGTGGTTTCAGTCATAGTCATATCAACAATCAAGAACACAATTTTCGACAATTTTCGATCATGAAATATACTGGGAACTGTAGAGTTGATCAGTCTCAGTCAGTTCTCGATTATATTCTTGTATGAAAAACCTCTTTAATCTTCAAGATATCTTGAGCACTTGAACGTAATATTTATAAGCCTTAGTGTGTTTCATTTTAAATATCGAAATCAGTTACATAGATCTATGGGTGAATCGATTAAACAGCCTGCATTTACAAGTTTCGCTATGTCCCTTACATAAATGTTATATAATTCTAAAAAGGGTATTTTATCTTTGGCGTGCCACGTATAGCCGTTATTTGCTCTTCTACTCATATAGTTTTGATCTATGTATAACTTTAAGAAACGAATGACTCGCGAACATTCTCAGTTTCCATATTTGATTTATTAACATCCTTAAACAAGAGGGAAAGAAAATGCAGCATTTTCCAAAAAATTATGCAACTTAATTTGAGCAAGCCACAAATTTTCGTTGCAATGTACATTGTCACAAGGCTGCTTCTGTTGCCGCTGTAGCTGTCGCTGCCGCCGGCAAGCCATAAATTCAGCAAAACACCCAGCCCAGCCTTCCCTCAGACCCTGGTGCATGCTTGTAGGGCTGAGAAACGCCCACACAACTTGGCCAAAGTTTGTGCGGCAGAGCCACAGGCACAGCCGCTGCGCTGCAAGTGCCGGATGCCAGAAGTCGGGATCAGAAACAAGCTGCTACTAGGCAAAGCCAAAGTTGCAACAAGCGACCATCAGTGCCCCCATTGGGGCCTGGGTCATGGGACCGGGGTTGAGGTTGAGGTTGAATATCGGGCAGGCGCCTGTTGCGGCGCTGCATATAATTTCATTCATAGGGAAGTTGGAATAAACGAGCCAAAATCGAATCTACTCCGGCGCCGGCATGTGTAACAGAAAACAAACCCTATTGCCAGCCCTCTTCTCTGCACGACGGCAACAAAAATCAAAGCATACTTTTCGGCGAGAAGCCAAAGTCCGAGCATAACAAACAACAATACAAGCAGAAAGGCAAAAGTTATTGAATTGAAATTCAGCTGGGTTTGAGACAACAACGTAATGTTTCTGTTATTTGTGCCACATGCTGTTTGTTGTTAGTTTTCTCTTCTTAGAACTACTTTTGGCTCTTTTCGCTTCACTTATGAACTTCGACATTACGCTTTGCTATCTGTGCACAACACAGATACAAATGTATGTCAGTGTGTACACATGTATATGCTCAAGTAGCAAGAACATGGGACGATTATACACTTATAGACAGCATGCCTGTGCTCAATTAAGGAACTCCTTTTCGCAAGCCGAGACTCTGTTTCTTTAATATTGGCTGCTAACATTCAATTGAATACTAAAAGGTTTAACAAAGTGTTGGGTTTTACTAAAACATATCACAATATTTTTCTGAATTTGCGCTATTTATAAATATAAAAAGAACAAAGCTCTGCAGGAAATGGTTTAACTTTGTAGGCTAGTGTAAATTCCTAATGATAAGAAACGCCTAGAAGCATGGAAAATCAAACGTTCATATATTATATTTTGATGTAAACAAATCGAATTGAATTTCTTGATATTGTTTGTAAGCATACTAAAAATGTCGCGCCGTCAGCAGGAAATTCAGCGCATTGAGCGTGAGGTGAGGGCCAAACTACCTTATCGCACCTTTCGCGAAATCACCTTCGATAGGAATGCAATTAAAGCCAGCATTGTGCCATTAAGCTTCATTGAGGCACGTAGGGAACGCGGTCCGATCTATGAAGCTCTGCAGGCTGAGTTACGGCACGAAGGCTGCCGTATGATGCCTGAGTTTGTGCGTTGTCTGGCCGAGAAGGAGCAGGCGCTGTTTGAGTCGGTCAGCATTCGCGCCAGGATCATTGACGAGCGCCCGCTGCTCTACGAGATGATTGAAAAACTGAAACGGGCCGAGCTCGCGGTGATCAAGCGAAAATTCAAGGGACTCAAAGAGTGCTTTACGCTCTTTTACGAGACTCTGCTGCTGCTCGAGCCCTATCGTGTTAAGTACGAGTATGCTCTGAATGCGGTTATGGAGCACATCGTGTCGCTGTGCCACAACATCGAAGGCCAGGAACGGGACGCCGCCGAGATGATTGCTCGCATCTACCACAGATATGCACTATTTCTGGAACGTACTGGACCGAGAGCCAATGCCATTACCTATCTGACGGCCACCCTTGAGCTGGTCCGAGGACATATGTGGCTAGCCGAGCCGGACAAGGGATCAGCCAGCCCGATTCTGCATGAGCTGGTTGCTCAACAGCTGGCACGTCAACTGCTTATCTATGGACGCCAGACTGCGCGCCAGCAGCCTGAGGAGGCGGTTGACATGGCCAGGAGGGCAACCGTGCTGATTGCTGAAAGTAAGTCAGAGCTAGCTGCGGCTTCGGGCATTTTATAATATATTTCTCTCGCAGTCGGACGGCAAAAGAACTTGGACATATTTTGCGATACATTCTTGGAGAGGGCATTCTTTCTTATGGAAGGCAACAAATACCATGCCGCTCAGCATTGCCTCGAGCAGATCCGACCGGAATTAACAGCATGCACCGAGTACAAATTTGTCAAGCTGAACATTAAGTTCTATCTATATCTGGGACAGTGTGCCGAAAAGTGAGTAGTGCCTCGTGACGCAGTGTGAAGCTGCTTGTGACGTCGTTTACACCTGATCCATAGCTTCGATAACATGGACAAGGCCATATCCAGTTTTAAGCGAGCTCTGCGTCTTTCGCGCCTGTACGATCACAAGGATCACGAGGCGGAGATACTGCTTAATCTTGGCAAGCTGTTCGCCAGGGACACCCAAAAGACAGGAATCGCCAAGAAGTGCTACAATCAAGCCAAGAAAATTTACATCGACTTTAACGACACTCACAGCAAGAAGACGGCCGTCTTTCTGATGGGCAAATTAATGGCCGATGAAATCACTCCGCTCTATATGGCCATGTTGAAGGCCTCCAGCTCACGGTATTGTGCCTTCTATAATCTACGTCAGTGGAAGAATCGCTGCCGTCCATTCTGGCTTAAGTTAGGGGATGAAATCCTCAAACAGGAGTCGAACAATATTTACTGCCTACTTGAGGAGGAGAAAGAGGATCCCAAAAACGAACCCGTCTTCGTCGACTTGGACGGCAACACATTCAAGGTCGAGGAAGGTGATATTTGATTCGGCGTATTTTACATTCACTTGTGCGGGATTACTTAAAATTGTTATTGTTTGTTAAGTCCATGCGGCATCAGACTAAATATATGGCGCTAAGGGCTGCACTGAAATCTCAATATTTTCACCAGCTTCTAGCCCTTTTTCCTAGAGCATATTTTCAGGTTTCAGTGCAGTCCTTAGCGTAGCTTTCATTCAGCATGATCTCGGCTATATTGTGTATCTAAAGAAAACTCGAAAAACTGTAAGCTTTCATTATATTCATTGAGTTAAAGCAAACCAATTTACTTTGAATATTCCACAACATGGAAAGTATTAATTGATCGTCAAAACTTAAACAACACGCATGCAGCCTGCAGCCTCTGTGTTGCCCAAAAGGGACAGTTACAAATTGGTTGCACTAACAATAACGAGGCAGCCACCACCCACAGCAACGCCCAGCTGTAAGTTGCATTTCGGAACAAGAATTTCCAGCGTGCCGCAACAAATGTTGCTGATGCATGTGGAAAACGTTTGGCAGCGGGTGGCAGCTTTTGTAAATTGGCAATGTAATGCGAGATGCAATGCAATAAATCCGCAAACAACATGTCGGCGAAAAATTCTTTAAATATTTCCAAAATGCATATTTGTTATGTCCATACTGGCCATACATACATATACAACCTACACATAGGTATGAAACACATTGCATGTGCAGTTCCGGTGCAATATAACAGAGTATATTGTAACATACTGTAAAGTTAACATAGACAACTGCTGCTAACATACCAGCTGTTAAACCGAGATCATGCAGGCTAACTACATATGTATCTGATATTTTGTTAATGAAAATGTATCTCTCTGATGAAGACACAGAGAATATTGAAAAGGAGAGATAGAGAGAGATTGAAAGGCAGGGAGACGTCCAAGGAGAGAGAGGGACATTAAGAGAGAAAGAGACATTGAAAGAGAGAGAGAGAGGGTTTAAGAGAAAGAATGAGAGCGAGAGCGTGACAGCGTGCAAAATTTAAGATGATAAGCAAAGATATATAAAAAAAAAACAGTTAGTATAACACATATTCAAAGTAAGAGTGGAAGACCTCTAGCCGTACTTGAATTTGAATCGCGCAGAAAAGCGATAATACTTTCATTAGTTAAGCCCAGCGGGGGAATTAGTAGACAAGTTAAGTAGGCTTAGACTACCCATCAGAAAAAAGAGTATGCTGCACGCTTTAAAAAAAAGGTAAGGCTTGAAAACAAAGCCGTAAAGGCTAAGCAAATGTTTAAAATTTTAAGATACAAATTTGGGCGAAACAAGGCTGTGCTAATACCAGCTTGCATTATATATTTATATAGAATTATAAACCGACCATAATTCGCAGTTAAATAGCCGCAATGTCAACCCTTTCTATTTTGCGACAAAATATTTTTGTGTGCTTTGCCACCCGGCCGAAAAGTTTCTACCGAGCTGTAAAAGTTCGCAAATGAAAATAAATGCCTAAAGTTGCTTAATTAAAATGAAAATAAAAACGAAAACGAAAGGCACCACACTTGCCTTTTTTTTGAGGGGGGGTAGGCGGGGGAATTCCGCGGCAATTAAATCAAGAATGTGCAACGCAGCATTTCAACCTGTTGTGGCATATTTTGTGGCAGAAATGTGATTCATACACACAATCTTATGGAATGTTAATCCCTCCAATCAGGCAAGTTATGTAAGTTACATTTGCGAACGTTGACAACCTAATTAAAAGTGAATCATAAACAGAAAATTAGCCAAAAACTATTAGAAACATTCATGTAAACACGCAGCTCCACACGGGGCGCAGCACTAAACTTCCTTGTGAAACAGCACATTTAAATCAATTTTGAAGAAGTTTAGAAAACTTTGTCAATTAAAACTTTATTTCTCAAGGCAAACAGTGAATTCTGGTTAACTCGCGAAATAGTACAATGCAGCGAATGAATTCGGTTCGGTATTGGAAGAGATGATTCTTATTATGTCCTATTTGAAATTATCTATAAAGTATTCTGTTGTCGCATTCAAGATTTTTATTCATTTAATAAAACTATGCTGTGTGTTGAAAGGGTTGCAACGAGAGCTTGTAGCCTAATTAGACAATTCCACGAAGCGGAACCTTTTTAGATTCGACCATTCTGCAGATGGGCTTTGTGCTTTTTTATACCCTTTCGCAACGCAACTGGTCAAATACTTTACAGCCCAACAAGTTTTAAAAGTTGTATTCAAATTTGGGCAGCGTTGCTAATATATTAATAAGCTACTTAATACATGAGTTCTTGTCACACGGGTCTCTATTTATTTTTTAATACAAGGGAGAAAGTGACAATACGCTGATTTTGTTCAACTTAGCGACTCGAGTTAATTGCTCCAGTATAAAATGGAATGCTTCTGTAAGATACCCAGGCATACAGCTCGATAATAAGCTTGATAAAGTCCATAATCACTCGAGTCTCTACTTGTTATTCAATTGTAAGTCTTCACTTGCATTTTTATTAAGTCCATACTAAATTTATTTGGATATGTGTAAACTAAACGTGCAAACAAAATCTTCATTCTATATTAACAACCTTGTTATCTATTTGTTAAAATTAATATATGTCGAGTTTTTGAAAACCACAATTATCGATAAAATAGAATAGAAATTGAATAGAAGTTCAACTGACCTAATTCAAGCTCTCAGAGGCGGACGCCCTTGGTTCCGATATTTTACGATTCATAAAAATGTTGAAGAAGAAGCATAAATAATACAGGATCATATTTTCAGTCAAAATTGTATAAGCGTTTCATAATTAGCTCAGTTTTTACACATTTGGATGGCAGCAAAAAATTTAAAGTTTGTAAACTTATGAAACTAGGCTAAAAATCACGAACGCTTGATGGCTGATATTTCATTTTTTAGTCACATTTTGTAGCAGCTTTTTTTCGTTACAAAAGTTGATTGTTCACGCCAGTTTTTGGTCAAAAAAAAAGAAGAGAGTTCTTCGAAAAAACATACTGTGTCTGCCACCTGCCAAAAAAAAGCGTCCGCTCGTCAAAAGCTAACTTTGTTTAAAAAAGGAAGTAAAACGGTTGCATCTAGCGCATTTTGTTGAACAGTTGTTCCAGTTTTTCCTATTTTTCATAATAGCAAAAAATACTTTTATATTGTAAAGGGAAATTATGGTATTTTCCATTGGGTTAAGCTTTAAAAAATCGGTTGAGCTCTACGAGAATCATGTCAAATATGAAAAATTCCCAAAAATGACCACATAATAAATTTAAAAAATTTGAATAAATTACAAAACAAAATATTCGCACCCAAAATTTTCTACAGTGTAAAACAATAAAATGGAATTATGTTGCATTGTTTAAAGATAAAATAAAAAAAATAAATATTTAAGTTCACGTGCATCTTAATAGAACTAGTCTAAGATTGCATGCTAATATACACTGTAATAAACTTACAGTATCTTTGTATCTTACTAATGCTTGATTTCGTTTCTTATTAAAACGCCAAGGAAATTAACAAAAACTGTTATTATTAAGAAATTGTAATATTCTTTAAGAAGAAATATATATGGGATAACAATATCGAAGAAAATATCATCACTGTAAACAGAACTTTTTTGTAATATTCAGAGATATTATATTCTTCATTTTGTATTCGGAGAAACTACTTTGAGGCACGCTGGGTTTTTAATATTGTTTGTTTCGAGAATATGTTCTAAGCAATATTTGAAATATAAATTTAATTGAAATCTGAATATTAAAACATAATTAAGAATTTTATATCTAAATATTACAATAATTTAAATTGCAAAACCTTTTTTTTTAAGACAATAATTGTGTAAATGGAATTGTGGGGATTAGATCAAAATGGGATTGATCAAAATGTGCGTTATTGGAGATGCGATGCGTTTTATGCCAGGATTAGATCATCTAATTTCGATGTCTGGAAAAACAGTAGAAGCTCTAGCCGAAGCTACTTCCGTCTAGAAGCTCCCTCGTTCTGTGAGCACAGACATTTATCCTATCAACAGGTCGGGTCTTGGCAGCTTAAAGAGTCCGGAGTGGGGAAGACCCTAAGGCCCAACGATCCATGTGAATTGGTTCTCAGATATGAAATATTTATGTTTAAATGCTGAGGTGCATAACTTAACCAATTGATTATTGTTGCTTATTTGCCTGGGCTGGCATGATCTTAAAGTAGCCGTCTACCATATAAATTCTGGGATCATCCGGCCCGCTGCCATCCGGGTTGGTTTTCCAACTGATCGTCAAACATGGCTCTCCGGGCTTGAATTCTTTTGGTATCGTTATTTGATAGTTCTTTGCGTCCTCAGCGTTCACATTGTTTTGAATGAGAAATACGGGTCGTTGGGCCACAGACCCTTCTGTTTCCGGCTGCTTGTTTACTGCAACGTTGTAAAAATGGAGATAGGCGCTCTCTAAAATTCTATCGATTCTACTTACATGGATGGCTCCATACGCTGGCGAGCATCAGCAGCAGCAACAGCAGCAGAAACTTGTGCAATGTTTTGTTAGATAGCATAATTTTCATGATTTAAATATATAAACAAAGCGCTAGAACTAAACGAAGCTTCAGCTTTGTTTTATATACTAGATGCTGCACGCGTCTGTCTCTATATAAAATGCGACTCGTATTATCAAGCAACGTCTTGAACCAGAGCAATCTCAGCTCGAACTGTTCGAGGTTCGAGCGATTCAGGCTGAGGGAACTCAAGCTGTAGCCGCTCTATCTCTCAGCTATTCTCAGTTATTCTCACATATTCTCTCAGTATTACCTCACCTGGCTGAGCAATTTAGTTTGTTTAGCTTATCGGGTCGTTGGGCTTGAATGAAACAATCGCTTCTATATGCATATAGTGTGAGTAGAGATTGTCTCCTCAAGTTGTAAACAAAGCCCAGCCGTTGAATGTATCAATATCAATATGAACATGACGCTCAGCCATTGCTGATAGAGCACCGAACCAAACAAAGGAAAATCTGGATGGCATCCATTGAGGTCATAGGCTGACCACCTACAAACTGGGCAAGTATTTTTGTAACGCGGCAGTAAATAATTGCTCCACTTTGAAATATAATTGAATATTGATAAAGATAAAGCTTTGAATGGTTTTTGTGACAGGTGCTCAGCATTAACGAGTAATAATTCATTTTAAGAGTTGTTGAACTTAATTAAATAATGGGTAAGCTTGTTGAAAAAGTCTTTACTGTATGAGAAATTGTATATCTTTAGCCGCTATTCTGTGGATAGTATATTACACAGCTCGCAAGGGTATTAAAAAGCCGACGCTCCCTTTGCTTTAATCTCTGTTTTGTTTAGAAAATATCCTAATAGCTAAAAAATATTACTAAAGCTCCCAAATAATATTGTGGTATTATTTAAGAAAAAAATATTTTAAGTTCGAAACTTTTATAAATTCAAAATATGTGTAAGCTTAATATAACAGTTAGTATAAAAACTGCTTGCGAACTTGTCGATAAGAAAAAACACTGCTTGTCGCTAGTTTACAGCACTGCTTGTCTTTTGCATTGTTAGTATTTATAAAATACAATATTGTCGGATTTGGTATAATACATTTTTAACGATTTGGTTACACTGCGTTTCAAACTAGGGCAATATTTTTCAAATTTGAAATTATTTAACGATTTTTCAAATAAACATTTTTGTGAAAAATGTATTTCCCAAAGAATAAAGAAAAGCCCAATATTCTTTTCAAAGCGTTCACTCCAGGTGTCCGTAAGAACTTAGGTAAAATGTTGTATCTATATATACAGAGGTATACATTTCCTTTCTAAAGTACCTAGTCTAGCTTATAAATTTTGATCCATGATTGATCTATGGATAATTCTACACTCAAAAGCATTTTGTTCTTATTTAAGCGTAAGTGCGAAAGAAAGAAAGCCAAATGACGTTATAAAACGTAATTCATTATTTAAATTTAGAAACATATTGAAAATATTTCTTCCAACAACTGATTATTTAGTTATTACTGGATATCAGTGCCAAATATAGTCAATTAGCCAGACCATAAATTTCTAAAATGTTTAATTTGCAAAACTCTTAAATCAAGTCAATTTTGGCTTTTTATCTTCATTAACTTTTAATTTTATTAATAGTTTATATTAATTTGCATTTAATTTATTTTATCTGTAACTTACAGTAATAAACATTAAACGTATTTTTAAACAAACAAGCTTAATTGTAGTATGTATTTTTATGTGGTAACTTTAGCAACAATTGTTTATATTATACATTGCAAATTAATGAATTCTGTATCTTGAATCGATACAAAGTTGTTAAAGTACTCTCTATTTGATTTGTAGCATGTGGAGGGACTGGGCATATGTCTTAAGGACACTTGAAGAATGGTTAACAATATATTAAATAATATATACCAAACAAAATGTCAAATGGAAAATAAATTAACAACTTTGACTTTGCCCTTGGACGGAAACCGTTGCTTACAAAATTCATATAAAGAATTTAAATGGAAATCAGGTTCTTCCTTTGTTTAGAAAACATTGCGGCATTGTGTGGAAGACAAATGAAAACAAATTGTTTATGCAAATATTAATTCAAAGAAAATCTTAAAACTCTTCCATTGGTTTTGTGTTTTTTGAAGTCCCGTTTTGTGTTGTTGCTACATTACACAGTCTTTGTAAATGTTTTTGTTATCGTTCTTATTTCAAATGGATGCTCTTGTCGAAAATCGTAACTGTTTGGGAATAATTGCCCCAAAACTCCGCCATTAAACTTCCGTGCTGTGCGTTTGAATGCGCACCTTTTTCACACTTCCATTGCGTCGCATAGGCGGTGAGCTGCCCGATCCGGAATAGCCTGGATTTTGTATGCCCAGCGTTGGATCGGGCCTTGGACGTGGCTTTTTGAGACTGGAGCGCAGCGGCGAACGGGTCACAGACTCTAGCGTGGAGCCATTCGAAACGCTGGTCACGGTAGTACTCATAGAGGCCACACTGCCGGCAGTTCCAGCTCCATTTCGTATGCCGCTATATGGCTTTCCCGAGGCGTCTGTCACCGAGACGCCATTGCGGCTACGGGGCTCTTTAAAGCCCGGATTGTTAAAGGTGGTGGCACTAGCCGGCGAAGAAGCGTCCAGCGCCATTGTTGGATCGCCACCAGAGCTGCGCGAGAAAATGACGTCATACAAAGCGGCAACAAACAATGCAATGGTCAACACAATCACAACTATCTGCAAAGCCAAGAAGAAGAATATATTGTTAGTCAGGCAAACGAATCACAGATAATATTGCTAAAGTGTTCACCTGTAGATAGAAGGATATACCACGCGATATTTTGAAACCGAAACGCTCCTGTTCATCGATTTGCAGGGCAAACAGCACTGTGGCTATTATTGCCAGCAAACCTGCCAAACGCAATTAATTATACTATTTAGTTATTCCTGACAGGCACGCCTGGCAATAACTTACCACCCAGCAGGGCCAATATGAGTTTGACAATGACCAGCGATGTGTAGGACATGACGACCTTCTCCCGCGACGATATCATCGCGTGTTGAATGACTGACAATATGCAAAAGATGCCCAGCACCGCTGAGCTGCCAACTGCCAAGAGTCCGCTGACAAAAACCGCATCTGAATAGAATAAAATATTAAATACATCGATGATGCCAACAGAAGGGGCTATCCTAGTGCTACATTATTTGGAACATATAATGCATAATAATCATAGAACTAAGGTTTATAACCTAAGTTCAAAGAATTTAAAAAATGGCTTGCTGAGTCGACGCGCTGGTTCAAACCGTGAATAGAGCATAAGAACAAAAGGGCATTGCATCAGATGTTCCATAATTAAGCATTGAGGAACAAATGCTAAGGTTTTTATAATTTATATATATTGTTTTTGTATTTCCAGTTTTCGGTTAAAATCCCTATCATACTCAAGTCTAATTGGGTTTAGATAATAGTAGGATTGTTCGAAAATTGTACTTACTGCTCAGCCTGAACTTGGAGACGTCGTTGCCGCATTTCTCACGATTGTAAGTCAGTTGCTTGCACACTTTGAAGGGGCCAAAATAGCCGCGATCGTAGTCATAGCCACCTGTGGGAAGAGTGCCAGTAATAGATATAAATGATATTTAAAAGTCAATTGGCACTCACCCGACGGACTGTCGTAGTAACCCCAAATGGGTATGCCGATGGCGACAGATGCCAAGGCAAAGCACACAAACCCCAAACAGGTCACCCCAGCAACATAAAGTGTCGACGTTGCCATATTTTACTGTACAGCATAACGAAGACGATGACTTGCTGGTGTATGCCCGCTAAAGACTGAGATCCAGGGTATCAAAGAGCCAAAGTGCTGCAAAGAATATGACAACAAAAACAAAAACATAATGCGACAATAAGTAAAACCAATTGCTTAAACATTCTACAGTTTCAGCTGTAGCAAGATATTTCTAATGCAAACAATATTCTCTGCTTCTTGCGGAACATGTCAATTAAGCAAAATATATCATATATGGCGGTCGGAGCTCATTCTGAGCTGAGGCTCATGCTCAGCTCATGATGTGTTAACTAACTATCCAATTTGGCTATTTATGCACCCATTACCCAGTCCTCGCCAGATTAGCTTTTGGCATCTTCTTGTTTAATGTGGGAGCAAATGCAATCCAATATTTGGCATTGTGATTATATATGTAAGTAGCAGCCAGTGGCCCACTTGGCTCTTCTTCTAAATGCACATAAGTCATACAAAGCCCATGAGTCGGTTGTCAGCGTCAAGACGAACAATTAGATCTCATTCATACACAAAGAGCTACTTGCCGCTGACCTTGAAATGCGGAAAAGCTTACGCAGAAGTGGCTCGTTGTGAGATATGGAGATGCCTCGATATACACGTAAATGTGGGACGGTGTGTGCTGTGTGCTGTGTGTGTGTGTGTGTGTGTGTGAGTGTGTGTGTGTGGGTGGGTGGGGCGTGCACCCAACAGATATTTGTACTTAAACTGCCAGAGAATGGCACAGTTGTCGCAATTCTGTGACATTTTCAGATGCATGACAAATGTTTGTGCTTTTAAGTAAGCCGTTTAAATAATAAACCGATTTCCTGTCATTAAATGCCAATTACAAGTAACATATGTGTATCACGTTTCAGTGTCAAACTATATAAAAACAGAGTTTTGCCTAATTGACTGACTGCGAATAAGTTGAATAAGACAAATTTTACAGAAGTTGCAAGCGTTGAACCAACAAAGTGCATGCCGCTGGTTCAATTTAATTAGCTAAGCAAGTATGGCCTCTATATATACCCCATCTGATATGTTATACCCAAAATTACTGACTAGGGTAAATAAGAGAAGTTGAAAATGATCGCATTTATCGCTGTGGAGACGACTTTCTGATATTTGCTACAGTAGCATTAGCCAACCCACTAATGAACTGAGTTAATGTCGATCCAAAGGGGCGTTAAACAAAACATTTTTATTAAGTTCTTCAACTTTCAGTGACATAACGCGGCGAGCATAACGAAAAACTAGTACGAAACTTAAGATGACAGAACCGATACAGCAATAGAGACAGCGCCAAAAACAAACACGAAGCGAAGAGTGCCAAGAAATACTAGTCTTTGAAGCCGGAGCGGGCGGTTTGGGTGTCCAACTACAAGCCGGCGTCGCTGTTTGTTGCTCTTAGCGGTAAATAGAGAACCTG